CCTAGGTTTTTGTTATTTGGAGGTATAATGAGTCACAGAGTTGCCTTTTGATTTATCTTTTGGTTCATTAAAAAAAATTGGGCCACACCTGCCAGTGATCAGGGCCTACTTCTGACTCTGCATTCAAGCATCACTCCTAGTGGTGCTCAAGGGATCATAAGGGCGCTGGGGATTGAATCTGGGTCAGCCACGTGCAAGGGAAGTGCCCTATCCACTGTACTATCTCCCTAGCCCCATTTCTTAAGTTCATTTTATTTCCTGCAGAGAGAAATGCAACCAATTTCATGTACTGATTTTTAAAGCCTGTTAGTTTTCTCTAAGGTGTAATGCTTCTAACTGTTTTCCAGTGTAGTCTTTATTGCACCCTACCACTTTGACTTTCCTCGCTACACCCAATGGCCACCTCTTTTGCACACCAGCCATGTTCTCCCATGGTTTTCATTCACCTTCATTAGTTCTTTGGATGATGCCTCAATCAACAATCTGCACCTAGGTTGCAGCATATTTCCTACAAGGAAATGGCCTCTTTGTTCCTGGTGACTCAGTATTTATCCTTGGCCAAACTGATGAGAAGCTACAGATCTGACAGCTAATAACTGTTCTGATTCTTGCCCTTTAATTCTCACAGGAGTCTACAGCATCCAGACCAGGGTTCTTCAGTCTCGATCACATCCTCCTCTCCTTTCTCTCTCCCCCACCCCTAGTGTGCCTGTTAATTCACATTCATGGTAGGACGTTTGCCTTGTACGTGGCCGGCCGGGTCGACCTGCGTTCAATTCCTCCTCCCCTCTCAGAGAGCCCAGCAAGCTATCGAGAGTATTCTGCCTGCACGGCAAAGCCTGGCAAGCTCCCCGTGACGTATTCAATATGCCAAACACAGTAACAGCAAGTCTCACAATGGAGACGTTACTGGGCCTGCTGGAGCAAATCGATGAACGGGAGGACAGACAGACAGACAGTGCTTCTGTCCTCATTGTCCTCATCATCATCTACCAAACATTCAGTTACCTACTCTCTCTCCATCTCTCTCCAGAGCACATAGTCAGACCTCCTAAAATACAAATTTGAGCCTTGTGTGTCCTGTCCTGGCAGACTGACCTGAGTTCCTGAACCTAAAACTCAAGAGCTGTTTGTTAGTTCCTTCTCTGAACACCTCACATTGCGCTTTCCAAAAAATAAAACAGGCAGAGATCTGAGAATTTACAAATAGGTCAATACAAGTGTTTCCAGAGGTCTCCCAATGAAACATTGGTAATGAAGTACCTCTTCGTGTGCTTCCTAAATTCCTATTTTAAAAATATTAAGACACCGTGGTTTACAAAGTTGTTCATAGTAGAGTTGTTTCAGGCACACACTCTCCAACACCAATTCCCAGCACAGTGTGACATTCCCTTGACTTGTGCCCACAGGTTTTCTGCTCCCACCGCCGATATCAAGACTCTTTGGTAGACACACAGCAAATTTATTTCCTATTTCTTGCTTCAACAAAATATTAAGGAATGGAAAATGAGGTTTTCAGAAAACATATCAATAAAAGTCGATTTGTGATGATTGGTTGCGATATGATTTTAACATATCTAGGTTTAAGTAATTAAATGCCATATAATCCACTGTCCACTGTCCTCCCGTTGTTCATCGATTTGCTCAAGCAGGCCCAGTAATGTCTCCATTGTGAGACTTGTTACTGTGTTTGGCATATCGAATACGTCATGGGTAGCTTGCCAGGCTTTGCCGTGCAGGCGAGATACTCTACATAGCTTGCCAGTTTCTATGATTGGGTGGAGGAACCAAACCCGGGTCGGCAGGGTTAGCCGTGTGCAAGGCAAACGCCCTATCCACTCCAGCCCAAATGAAATATAATGTCTATTTCGTTTGTAATGTTTTCAACTCTGGCATCCAAAATATATTGCTTTGAATTTTATTTTGGACTTGGATCTTATTGTGGTAACGATCAGGTCTTCCCTATTTAAATAAAACTTTTAAAAAAATTTTTGTGCTAGGGTGATTCAATTTTTAAAAAAAGGCCAAAGTCCCAGAAGGACTGGCCCATACATGGCTGGGAGCTTGCCACAAGTGTGTGGGCGATGGAGAGCAGTTAGGGTAGAAAATAGGACAGTAACAGAAACGATCACTCTGACAGGAACTGAATGTTGAAAGTAGGTAAAGTGCTATAGACGGTAGCCTTGCAGTATCTGTATTGAAAACCCATAATGCTCAAAAGGGGAGGGAGGAGGAGAGAGAGTGGTGCCCACATGGCGGCGGGGGGCAGGGGAAGAGAAACTGGAGAAACTGGGGACATTGATGTTGGGAACTGTAGAGGGATGGGTGTTGGAACATTATATGCCTGAAATTCAATCAAGAACAACTTTGAAACTATGTCTCACGATGATTCAATTAATTTTTTTAAATTCTGTGTTAATATATTGTAGAGTTTGCATGAAATTAGGTAAAACCTACAAAGATAAAATTTAATAAGAGTGAAGAATGAAGGTGAAAATCTGAGTAGTCCATAAAAGCACAAAGTGTTTTATCCTAAGAACGGGAATATTGGTTTTATATTAGAAAATATTCTAGATGCTGCTTTGGTGTCTGCATTAATAAGGAAAAGATTACAATAACACAATAATAAAGAATCAAATTATATAATAATATTGCAATAAAAATCTATGAATAAAAAATAGGGCTGGAGCAATAGCACAGCGGGTAGTGTCTGCCTTGCACGTGGCCCACACTGGTTCAATTCCTCCATCCCTCTCGGAGAGCCCGGCAAGCTACTGAGAGTATCTCGCCTGCACGGCAAAGCCTGGCAAGCTACCCGTGATGTATTCGATATGCCAAACACAGTAACAACAAGTCTCAATATTTGTTGTGAGATGTTACTGGTGCCCACTCGAGCAAATCGAAGAACAACGGGAGGACAGTGACAGTGAATAAAAAATACTGATCAGACATAGAATATTCAACATAAAAGAAATGTTCATTCATTACTGAAAATGTATTTAAATCTTTTCGCAAGCTAGGAGTAAACATAGCTTTCTTAATCTAGTAGAGGGAAACCATGAGTGCTATGGGTGAGCGCCATACTCAATGCCATATGCTGGGAAACCTGTCCTGTCCTTTAAAGAAACTCCTTTAACATTCTTGCAAAACTGTATCCTTGCCTTTATGAGAACAGTGACCATGCTGGTGAATTTAAACTTGAGGTAAAGTTGGGAGAGGCCACACCCATAGAGTGGCACAAGTCTGGGGCCAGAGAGATAGTATAGCGGATAGGGTTCTTGCCTTTTATGCAGTTAAATTCCCAGAATCCTACGTGATCCTTCGAACCCCCAAAGAGTAATTCCTAAGTGCAGATCCAGGAGTAATCACTGAGAACTGCTGGGATTGTCCCCGAACAGAAGTGGAAGTCTCCACATACTAATTAACACAGAAATATTTGCATAAGTGAAAGTAACTAGGTTGTTGAACATACGGTTAGCAAACTGGAACTGGTCATTATTTGTCAGTGTGACTTTTGTGTCTGTCATGAAAAGGATGGTTAATTTTATTTAATTTTGGGTATTGTTCTATACCTGGTAGTGTTTAAGGGTTACCTACCGGTTCTGGGCTCAGAGATCATGAAGTCTTGGGAGACTATATAAAGTTTGGAGGTAGAACCTGGATTTGCCGCATGCAAGGCAAATGCCCTACTCACTATACTATTGTTCCTGCCCAGAAAAGGGCCATTTAAAAGGTTGCCATATGGGCTGGAGCAATAGCACAGAGGTAGGGCGTTTTTCTTGCATGCGGCCAGCATGGCAGAGTCGGGTTCGATTCCTCCGCCCCTCTCGGAGAGCCCGGCAAGCTACCAAGAGTATCTTGCCCACACAGCAAAGCTTGGCAAGCTACCTGTGACGTATTCAATATTCCAAACACAGTAACAAGTCTCACAATGGAGACGTTACTGGGCCTGCTTGAGCAAATCGACGAACAATGGGAGGACAGTATTCACAGCATTCAAATGGAACATATTAGTGTGGTCTGCGGTGACAGGGAAAAGCTCTAAAAAGTAGGTGATATTTGAAGTGACACGGGCAAGAAGATGATAAACTAGCAGTGAGTTCTTTGCAAGTGTAAGCTTAGTCACTTTCAACCACTAGTCTAAATCCTTTACATTACATGACAGAATGACTCCTCAGACTAGAATTTGATTTCACTTGCCACCTTATTTTACTGACTAGGAATATGAGATAGAAAGCAGTAGTAATTTAAGACTGGCAGTAGTAAGGGCTGGTATCTCAGTCCAGTGAACATATCTCATCCTGTTGTAACTTGGCATTATGTTCAGAGAAGAGTGGGTGGAAGGTATGTGATGTTTTCCCTAATTTATAGACATGATTTGACGTATTGGGCAACAAAATTGCCAGTCTTGTTTTGGTCCCCCTGGCTGTCTTTCAGTGCCCTGTGTTGCTTCATTTTTTAAAAAATGATACTAGTATCCATTATTTTAATTAATTATTTTTTTTTTGCTTTTTGGGTCACATCCAGAGAAGTTCAGGTTGTCCTCCTGGCTCGGCACTGAGAAATTACTCCTGGCCATGCTCCGGGGACCATTTGGGATGCCAGGGATATAACCCTTGTCAGCTTCTTTAAAGGGAAACTTCCTACCCGTGGTGCTATCACTCCAGCCCTACCCTGTGTCTCTTTTTTCTTAGTCAAGGGGAGAGCATCTGCTACTGCAGCTTTCACCACAAATTGGTGCCACAGTCAGCAGTATTAAAGGGTACACAGCATTTGTTGCCTGAAGTTCAAACTCTGCCTTACACATATACACACAGTAACAAAGTGCACTTGTAATCTCCAAATTAGATACTAAATGGTTCCTGTTCTTTGTGCTTCTTCTAGGCTATAAGACATCTGAAAGAAGGTCTGAAGCAAGGCCTAATCCTCATCTGCCTCTCAGCAATTTGACCTCCAGCGCACCAAACCACAAGTGAGGTTTGTCTGACAACCACTCTGTCATGGCGGGCCCAGTGCCAAGCAAGTCCAGAGTTTACACAGATGTCAATAAACTCAAACCCCGAGAATACTGGGATTACCAAGCACATGCAGTAGAATGGGGTAATCAAGATGACTATCAGTTGGTTCAAAAATTAGGCCAGGGTAGATACAGTGAAGTGTTTGAAGCTATTAACATTCTGAATGAAAAAAAAGTTGTTGTCAAAGTTCTCAAGCCAGTAAAGAAGAAGAAAATCAAACGTGAAATCAAGATCTTGGTGAACTTGCAAGGCGGTCCGAATATCATCTCTTTATTGGACATTGTAAAAGACCCTGATTCACGGGCTACTGCCTTGATTTTTCAACATGTAAACAACACAGACTTCAGGGACCTGTATCCAACATTCACAGACTATGATATTCGATTTTACATCTATGAGATGCTGAAGGCCTTAGATTTCAGTCACTGTATGGGCATTATGCACAGAGATGTGAAGCCCCAGAATGTCATGATTGATCACGAAAACAAAAAGCTACGACTCATAGACTGGGGGTTAGCTGAATTTTACTATCCTGGCCAAAAGTACACCGTTCAGGTTGCTTCTCGATACTTCAAAGCTCCTGAGCTGCTGGTAGACTATCAGATGTATGACTATAGTTTGGATTTATGGAGCTTAGGCTGTATGTTCGCTAGTATGATTTTTCAGAAGGAGCCATTTTTCCACGGCTGTGACAATTATGATCAGTTGGTGAGAATAGTCAAAGTTCTGGGCACGGAAGGTTTATATGACTACATCAACAAATACAACATCAAGTTAGATGCACAATTCAGTGAACTCTTGGGCAGACACACCCGGAAGCGCTGGGATCGCTTTATCCACAGTGAAAACCAGCATCTGGTCAGCCCCGAAGCTTTAGATTTTCTGGACAAGCTGCTACGTTTTGACCATCAAACACGACTCACCGCCAGAGAGGCCATGGATCATCCTTATTTCTATCCGGTCCTGAAGACACAGGCTCAGTATTTTTCATCTAACAAGCCAGGGAACAGCGTGACTTACGGCAACACAGGAGTTTCTTCTCTACCCTGTAGACCTGAGGCAGGCATACCAGTGGATTCTGCCACTCATCCTCTGAAGTACGGCCGCTCCTCCCCTACAAAGCCTAGTCACACCTCTTCTCCGAAGCGTGGTCGCATCTCATCGGTGAAGTGTAGTCCGAAGATCCCTCTGAAGCCTGTTCCCACATACCCGCCAAATCCTGCTGCTACCTACCCAGTGAAGCCGACTCCCATCTACCCTGTGAATCCTGCTCCCACCTACCCAGTGAAGCCGACTCCCATCTACCCAGTCAATCCTGCTGCCACCTACCCGGTGAATCCTGCTCCCACCTATCTGGTGAATCCTGCTCCCACCTACCCAGTGAAGCCGACTCCCATCTACCCGGTGATTCCTGCCACCACCTACCCGGTGAATCCTGATCCCACTTACCCAGTGAATCCTGCTCCCACTTACCCGGTGAAGCCTGTGCCAGTCTACCCTGCGAATTCTGCTGCCATATACCCAGTGAGGCCGACTCCCATCTACCCTGCGAAGCCTGCTGCCCCCTACCTTGTGAAGTCTGCCTTCTCTTCGAAACCTTGTTCCAGCTCCCCTGCGAAGCATCCTTCCACCACCCCCGTGAAGCATCGTTCCACCTCCCCCACCAAGTGTCATCGTTCCACCTCCCCTCGAAAGCCTCGTTCCAGCTCCCCTCCAAAGCCTCCAAAGCCTCGTTCCAGCTCCCTCCCAAAGCCTCGTTCCAGCTCCCCTGCAAAGTACCATCGGTCCGCCTCCCCTGTGAAGCCTCGTTCTAGATCCGTTGCAAAGTCAGCTCCCACCACCCCTGCGAAGTCCGCACCCACCTCCCCTGCGAAGCCTCGTCCCACCTCCCCTGTTAAGCCTCGTCTCACCTCCCCTGCGAAGTCAGTTCCTGCCTCTCCTCTGAAGTCTCGCCCCACCTCACCTAGGAAGCCTCATCCCACCTCGTCTGGGAAGCCTCGTCCGACCCGTTCTGGGAAGCCTGGTCACACCACAAAGCCTGGCCACACCCGCTCTGCGAAGCCTACTCCCACCCAGCCCACAAAGCCTGCTGCAAATTCCTCTTGAACATAAGAGTAATGGCCCCTTTGTTTTCCTGATGCCCAGGTGGAGGTGAGAATCCACACCCTCCTCGTCGGGAATGTGAAATAGTTCAGAAACACTGGGTGTGAACTGTGATTTACTTGTACATGTAGAGTGGTTCAGTCAATTAAAACAATCGGTACTCACTTTTTTTTCTCTCCAAACCCTTCTTTTGCCCCCCCCCCACCTTTTTTTGCTTTTTTGAGGGAGGGTCAGACCCAGCAATGCACAGGGGTTACTCCCGGCTTTGCACTAAGGAATTACCTCTGGTGGTGCTCAGGGGACCATATGGGATGCTGGAATTGAACCCAAGTCTGCTGCATGCACGACCTACCCGCTGTGCTATTGCTCAAGTCCCGGTAAGGTGTTCCTTACCAACCCCTTCTTTTAAACTCAGATTTTTTTCTAACCTAGGAGATTTCCTGAAAAAAATTGCAAGTGGAAGATTTCACCTAGACATGTGTTTTCTCTCCTTCCATATTTAGTCCCTCGTCAGTGAAAAATGAAGATAAACCAGACTCAGTTGTGGCTGCTACATTTGGGTGAGCAGTTCTTCCCATGTTCACCACTGCCCCTCCTACCATCGGGCTGTATCTCATATTCTTCCAGAGATTACAGATTTGTAGCTTTTTAAATGAGAGGTGGGAAGGAAGAAAGGAGGTAGGACCCCAACCTATAAGACCAGTCTTGCTAATCACTTATCACTCTACTCCAGATGGGCATCAGTGGGGCTATCTTGACAAACCTACTGGATAAATGTCTTAATTACATTGAGATGCTAAAGACTTACCCAAAATTCAGACAGGTCCTGAGAAATTCTTAGGTATGAGTCATGTCTTAATTGACATAACCCTCAACCCTACTGACGAGTTTTCATTTAGTTACATTTAAAAAATCTTTTTCCTTCCAGGCTTCTTAGCACGGTCCCCTTTAGTTGCTCAGCATACTCTATAGCTGGTATTGGGGCAAGGGAGATACAAAAAAATTTTTCATTTTTTGTCTTAGCTATTTCAATCAAGTTAGTTACTGGGTATGACGTACTCCTTTCTATAAAAGAAAACCAAATATTGTCTATAGGTATCTTGCTAGCCAGAGATGTGGCCACACTGAGTTGAGTGCTTTTTCCAAAGTTTTTCTTGCTGCATTTTCTCTCCTCAACATGCAATGAAGCAAGAACACCAGCTCCTCAGGCCTACAGATATTTAAAGGGTACAAACAGAGCCACTAAATTAGGCTACACTGAAATGGTAGACCTGTAATTATGGAGAAATGCTAAACCTTGAAATCCTGCCACCTTTTGATACATGTGTATCTAATATTTTTTCCTTCTTATGCAAAAGATCTGGTGTTGGAATTATTTGGTATAGATAAACCTTACATTTCATTTTTTCTGAAAAAGGCACTGTATCCATGATCAGGTAGGCAGAGATGATCTGGGAGATCAAACTAAGTGTCATCTATGTTGGGTATTGGGATCATCCAAAAGTGTCCTCAGCCAATGCCAGTTAGGTGATCATACTTAGTAACAGTAGAGCTGAGAAATAATCACTTTTGGGGCTGGGGAAAGAGCACATGAAACACCGAGGATGCAGTGAAATTAGATCTGGATATGCTGTACTAAATATATTCTAAGTTCAAAGATTATGTTTGCCAGATTTGCATGTTAAAAGTTTGTATTTCTTATATATTATTACATTGTGAGCAAAGATGAGCGATTTATCTGATCCTTGTAACCAGATAGGTTTCTCTGAAGAACTGGAGAGAATGGACAATGGTTCTGTCACTACTGAAGACCATCCAGTGCTGGAAAGTGAGAACTTAACCACATTCTCACTGTTAGAAGTGGGTGGCCAGTGTTTCCTAATCTAGTTTAATACATATCTTGTAAGTTCTGGATGGATGACACAGAAGGATCTGAAGCCATAATGGAAACTACTTTTGTGCTTTATGGGTCACTTTTATGTGTCTGACAGGTATGTTAGTCTTGACACTCTTTTGTAACTTTGTTAGTCTTGAAACTCTTTTTGCTGTATTTGTGTTTTGAGGTGTTTTAATCTTGGGAATAAAGAAGAGCAAATATTTTTAATTGTGGGACCGCACTGGACCACAGTGTTTTGTAGATACCACAAAGGCAATTCTAGTACATTGTTTTGGGGTGGTTATTATAGTCCGGTGTTTTTAAGGTTGTCTTAACACTGAAAGGTTTCTTAATTTCACATATTTATCCTTATGTATTCCATTAAAGTTGCATACTGCAACTTGTGGAAATATCCCTTAGCAAGTTTTTTTCCATTTCAATTAGCACAGAAAGTTGTTAAAAAGATCCTTTAATTAGTTTCTTCTTTGTAAATTTTGGAGTGAAAGTTTTGGTATTGTTGGGGTTTGTTAAAGTAGAACTCATTCACGTGACTGACTTTGCTCTACCATACTGAATACTATCAGCCAAATGTCTATATCTGACCTTGACAACGTTTGGAAAGTTATCTTCAGAAAAATTCAGTTTGATGTAATTTCAGTCAGTGAAATATAGATCTAGTCTACTCATATGTGTTTTGATAGGTTTTCATTATATTCTCGTCACAAATAAAGAGTTTACTCCATATCCAGGTCTCTTTTATTTAAATCAGTTCCTCATCTCAGTCTTCTAACTCATCTAACTTGTTCCTGGTACTTATTATCCCACTGTTTCAATGCTAAGTGTTTGTCTCTTATTTTATAGATTTACTATAACTAAAAATGTTACTGTAATAGTGTACATTGTCCCAATATGTTTCCTTTTAAAATTATTTCATTATTTCATTTATATTTTCCCTTTGTTTAAACATCTTGGCTTACAGAGTTGTTCATGATGCATTTGTTATAAGCATTCAGTATTCCAATACCAATCCCACAACCAGTGAGACCTTCCCTCCACAATTATCCCCATTTTCCCAACCATCCCCAAATCTTCCTCTTTAGCAGGCATAAAATAATTGGTTTTTTGTTTTTGTTTTTGTTTTTGTTTTTGCTTTTTGGGTCACAACCAGCAATGCACAGCGATTACTCCTGGCTCATGCACTCAGGAATTACTCCTGGCGGTGATCAGGGGAACATATGGGATGCTGGGAATTGAACCCAGTTCGGCCACGTGCAAGCAAGGCAAATGCCCTACCCGCTGTGCTATCACTCCAGCCTCATAAAATAATGTTTTATATTGTGTGTTAACACTAAATGCTTAATGAAATTAACAGCAATTCTTTTTTTTAATTTTTTTTATTAGTGAAACACCATGAGGTACAGTTGTAGACTTACAAATTTTTGTGCTTGGGTTTGTTATACAATGATCCAGTACCCATCCCTCCACCAGTGCCCATTCTCCATCATTTACATTAAAAAAAAATTTTGTTAGTGAAACACCATGAGGTACAGTTGTAGATTTACAAATTTTTGTGCTAAATACCAACAATTTCTCAATAAAAATTGTGACAAATTTAATACCTCACTATGGGACCATTACGTTGCTGAGGGTTTAATAAGCTGTTCATTGTTAGTTGAGCCATCTGTTGTAATACTTTTATTTATTGAGCGTAGTTTTTATGTTACTTTCCCATCTAATTTGGGTTGCTCCTTCTGGGATGCCTGTAGTATAGGTTTTAGAAGGGTCAACCTTGGACTCTGGGCTCAACAGGACCCAGGAGCAGAGATTCTCTGCCTGTTTCTCCCATTCTCCAGCGACCCAGGGATCACACCCATAAGCCATCTCCTGCCAGCGCCATATAATCTCATCTAATCTTCTGATTGGGCTCCCTCCAGGACTCATGGCTGCTTTTCCTAAAGGGGAGCATAAAATGAGGCCCCCCTAACCATCCCACAGGACTCCGCGCCAGGCTGTTTTCACTTGGGGCATCCCAGAGTGTGGCAGGTGAGAGCCCTCCCTTCCCCAAAGGACCCAGCCTGGGCAGCCGACCTCCATAACCCAACGTCCCTCACACTCCTGGTCACTTTCCACATGCCCAGGCTGAGCCTCACATGAATGAATATATTCCTTGACCACGTGGCCGCACAACACATCATAATAAGACACTACCTGCCCATTTTCCATAATGAACACATCGTATTTGATGGCATTCAAACAGTAGGCTACAAATAATAGAGGAGAGTATATATGTATTTTTTCAGACATACAAAATCTCACATCACCCAAAACATAATAACATGTTAGTGATATCCTATAGAATGTATTGGTGACTCCTACCAAAATAGAACATTCTTCACACAGTTTTCGATATGAACATGTTCAGCAGTTCTTCATAACAGACAATACAAAATACATTATTTTTTTGTGTTTTGGGACAGGGCTTGGGGCTTGGGATAGGATTTGGTGATGGGATTGGTGTTTGAATATTGAACGTAATAAAATATTGTGAAATAACATTAAAAATTTTTTTAAAAATTTAAAAAAGAATTTGGAAGTGTTGCGTGACCGCATTTTGGGCTCCATACTCCAGAAACTCCAGAATTTTTAAATGGGCCATGAGTTTACATGGCCGCAGTTGTGGGATGTGGGTGTGGCTTCTGGGGCTTCCAGTGGCAGTGGGGGATGGGGTTCCTGTCCCAACTGAAAAATCAGAAATATCAGTCTGAAGACTTGTGTACCTGGAATTTTTCAACAGTTTGGACTGTTTGCAGAGGTTAGCCATGAGGCAGTAGAATTGGGCCACCTGCATTATGGCAGCTGTGGGGATGTGAGTGCGGCTGCCGGGGACAATGTTAGCTCTTCGCTTTAAGGTCAGTTTATTTTATTTTATATATATTTTTTGTAGGAGTAATGCTATTTGTTCAGCCACTGATTAGCTGATTGAATTGGGCATGAACTCCACCTTAATTTTTTTAATTTATTTTTTTATATTTTTTTATTGAACCACTGTGGGAAAAGTTACTAAGCTTTCAGGTTTAAGTCTCGGTCATACAATGATCAAACACCTTTCCCTTCACCAGTACTCATT